GTCATTATGTGGCTGGAATGTTGGGTTGTTCTACTCCGAAAAAACCCTGATATTTACTTACTCTCGAAGAAGAGCTGATCATAAACAGATATAGATAATCGAGGATTATACTCGCATACAGCAAAGTCACTGCGATGTACTGTAGATACCACACCCACTGACGTCCCCGTTCTACTATCACATGTCAAGCTGACCTTTACAAGGGTCACGCCATTCACCCGGTGATTCAAACAGCTGCATTCTTACACATGTAACACGAGTGAGTGAGTAAGGTTAGTTTTACGCCGCACTCAGCAACATTCCAGCTATATGGCGGCGGTCTGTAAATAATTGAGTCTGGACCAGACAATCCAGTGGTCAACGTCATGAGCATCGATCTGCGCAACTGGGAACCGTTAACATGTGTCAACCAAGCCAGCGAGCCTGACAACCCGATCCCGTTATTCGCCTCTTGCAGACCGCCGCCATGTAGCTGGAATATTGCCGAGTGCGGCGTAAAACTAAACTCACTCTCACTCACTAAAAGGGGCGTACGGGCACACTCAGTCGCCATTCATCACACATTTAATATAATCGTCTAAAGTTATTCATAACTCCTTGAATGTCCTCAAGTATGCTAGCCCCATGTCAGTGAGACCGTGTTTGTTGTCATGTTTTGCACACACACATTTATGATAGGATACAGCAAAGTGGGTCGAGAAGTCATCCGGTTATCCCGCGGACTTCCTTGTGTCGGCGGTCTCTCCGGGACTCGGTCGGCGCACCTGACAATAAGCTCAGGAAAATCCTGTTTGTACTGCTCTCTAATAAATAAATAAAAAGGGATATTGCAAACCAAAAGCAGATTGTTTATTTTTAACAAATACACCGATTGTAGGATATTCCCGTAATGGAGTGTTTAATGGTCCATCATTTTGGGCAACAATTAATGTGAATGGTAGGTGTTTAATGTATTTTGTTCTACTAGCTGTTTGGGATGTGAACAGGCCAAGGAACGAATCTGGGCTCGAACTAAGTGCGAACGAATCTTTTATAATGAAACTGAAACAGACATTAGAAATGTCGAGTGTGTGAATGAGTTGATATTTAACGTCACATCAGCAATATTTTAGCCATATCGTGACGAAAAAGAGATGTACTAAGAATAAATATATTTATACTCATTTAAAAAACCTGTTAGCGAGGGACAGTATAACGACAAGATTAACACAAATTGATTAAAACTAGTTTGAGTTCTGTGTAAAATGTTAAATCATTTCAAAACAACACAATATAAAATCGGGCTATAGATCGCCAGCAACTGAGGGTAGATCACCATACTAGGGACCATGGGGACTTACAGTACCTTTGCTACCTGCACCCCTATCCCATCCCATCCCCGCAGCTCCTACCATCCCATCAGCCGCTGGCGATGGTAGGGAAATTTAACCATAATTTAAAATAACAAATATTCTACGTTTAAAAAGCTTGGTTGAGCTAAATTGACTTTGAAAGTTTTGGGACTTGCGTATCCTCTCAGGAGGACAATATTTTTTTTAGAAATGTCGATTCACTTCCGTAAATATCGCATGAAAAGCTGTTTTAGTTTAAAATGCTTCATCGTTTTTAGACCAGCCGGAACATGTTCAGTTTTCCTCGTGTTATTGATTTCATTGTGTGACTGAAAATATTTTTTATTTGCGATGTACGAATCACAACATACTACAGCCTGTTAAAGGCATACTTTTATTACACTCATCTAATGTGGTTTTTGCCATGATAGTGATGATAACGTGTATATTTATTACTATACAGAAATAAAACAAAACCCCAACAAACAATTGTCAACACGACCGTGGTGACTACAGAGGAGGTGACTGTAATTGTGATCGGGAAGTATCGGAACCGAACCCGAGCATTCGGCGTGACAAGCGGGTGCAATAACCACTGGGCGACTGCCCCGGGAGGAGTAGGTCAAATATAGTTACATTGAGGTATATCAGGACGTATATATCGAATGCCGCCATATGGAGAGGAATTGCGACCAGTGATAAGCACATGTTATGCAGCAACTCACAATGACTGCTGCTTGCTCACCATGGGGTATTTTCTTGTAAACTAGTCAAAACAAATTCCACATAGAAACATTTCTTTTCACACCGTGAAGGCATAATGTTCTGGGAAAGTCCAAAGTCTGCTCTGGTGAAATCCACTCAATAAATGAATATAATCAAACAGATTAATAACAAAAGTTCAATGTTGTACGAATGCTGGCGTTCTGAGTCACAAATATTTTATTTCTGATACACAATTCGACTCTGCATATAAACCTTTTTTCTGAGCTGCTATCTACACATACATGACTGCACTAACTGTAACTAAATACTCTGTACCTAATGCACACTGCCTACCTGAATACAAATATCACGGACCTCCACTGGCATTATGCACGTAAATACGGGCTATATACCTACAAGTGTTGAATATCTACATGTGTACCCCACACATATATAAGTGCAATAGGCTGCTAAACGATAGTACATATATGTTGGTACTGTAAAATACGTCTACCTCATAGTATAGTGAGTGAGTGACGTGGTTTAACGCCGCTTTGCCATTGGCTGTTTTGTTTATCACTTTGTTGAAGCCTATGGTCAAAGGGATGGTGCGGATAAAGCAAGGAACAGAATCACCACGACTCTGGTATTCGAACCAGCTGCCATCAGCTCATTTAAAGCCTGAAAAAGGAAAGAGAGATGCCTTAGGCGACCAAGACGTCAGCTCCGACATGCTGTGTGAATGTGGTTGGTTGGTTGATTGGTTCGTTGGGTGGTTGTTTTACGCCGCACTATTCCAGCTATATGTCGGAGGTCTGTAAATAATCGAGTCTGGACCAGACAATCCAGTGATTAACAGCATGAGCATCAATCTAGGCAATTGGGACATACTAATACACTGTAATATTCAGTAGTCGTCGGGGCTATATCTCTTTAGCAATATATAGTAATGACGTCATGATATATACCGAATCTCACAGGGTGACGCCTGATATCAAATATATCTGATATCAAGAGGTAACTGGAAGTGGCACAACCCAGAGAGTGGTGACATATTTATGCAAGAAAGATATATTTCCGAACTTATATTTATGACCAATACGCCGTGATGCATTAATTACCTTCTTGTGTGTTAATGTTGCTAATGTTTAGTCCATCTTGAGCATCAGTATGAGCATCACAAATACGCAATATTACGATATTGCGACGCACGAATCTGGGATCGAACAAATTGCGGACACACCTTTCATAAAAAGCGCGCTTGTCATACCTTTGATATGCTATGTCGTCACTGACATTGAACTTTCACAGATACTGAGATCTGAGATTCTCTATTGGTAGAGAGTTGGAAATTGTGAGGTTCATTTAATGGAAGAAACTCATGAATATTTCGTTCTAAGTACAAGGCAGTCACAGATAAATATTCGATGTTCATATTTGAACATTCATGCTGACGCTACTGTTAATGGATCGCAACCATTCAAAACCGAATAAATAGAACCTCGCCTTTACTGGTTATATGCAGAACATATTCTACTGTGCATTTCTCTTGTGCAAAGCCATCTCATTTACTTACAGTCTACAGTAAAATTGTTTTACACACTGTTGGGGCTGTATGACAGTATCCCTTCGAGATTACCGCGACTGTGTCACTCGCATCCCTATACATATGTCGTGCTAACTATATAACATCTATGCATCTTGGGTACTGAGTGTTACTGAGTTGTGTCTGTTAGATATAACCTTATAAGGTTGCCTCGGCAGCACCTTTCCCCAAACTTTGAATGAGGTTCTTCGACTTCAGGGTGGACACTGGGAGTTTGTGGACACGGGGAATTTAGATTAATTTCATCATAAGTTGGTGTGCCAGAATAGGGGCAGCATATGTACTACCCATCAAACGTTTAGACTCACTTAAAGCACTCACTATATGTTATGCATATATATGTGGTTACATCGAAGATGAACTTCTCCACTAACTTTGGGGAACCAACTGCAAACTTTATGCAGATGAATTGCAAGAGGATCATGCATTAAATTGCTAAAAAGCATGTGCAAATATCGTGTATGTGAACAGCTGTGTTGTGGTGCAAAGTTTTGTTAAAAATTCGCCAATTTTCACTCAGTTTCATAAAAAAATTAATCCCTGACAATAATCTTTTCAATGTTACGAATTTGTTTTACAGTACATCAGTTCATGTGTAAACAGTACCTTTAAACAGTATGGAAAATTTTGCAAAATCTAGTTTAGAAGAGTTGACTTTAGTAAGTGGCTACATTTACACTAGTGAGTCTAAACTTTTGATGGGGAGTATATATGAGCAAAGTGTGTATATGTAGGAGAGTTGGAAACTTGTAGCAATAGCAACGGCAACAGCACGATGGACTGTAAATAATGAAATTTGTTGTCTGGCAAACCATAGCTAACAACGGGGCCATCAACCAAGTTACAACTTGCAACAGTATTCCGGGACCTGTGTTCACCAGTGTCTCCAGAAATCTGTGTCCTCTGAATTGTTGTATGAACAATGAAGCGCCTTCGTATAAAATCCATCAGTCTGGTGACAGACATATTGCATCCACACGCACAGAGAGTGTATCAGACTCCAAACTAAGCAGGTAGATGTTCCACGACCTCCGCCATGTTAGGACTTTAAAGTAACCACGCGATGCAATGTGAGTGGATGGTCAATGTGAGGAGGTTGGAAAGCCCTGCTGCCAAAGAAACAATTGAAACGTATATTTGTCGAGGGCGCAATTGGAAAAAACTTGGTTATGAGGTACCCTTTGGGCGTCACCGTAAACGTGAAATTGGAATAGTAGAAAAAAGTCCATACCTAAGTTAAGTGAACATACTCACATGTTCACAGCATATAATCTCCATTGTGGGTACAGCTGCCCATGAAGACCAGGTCTACATAACACAGGTCATGACATTTGCATTTAGAGGTAACGAACACGACATTTTGTAGACAAGTTTATTTCAATGATATGGTGAAACTACATTTGTATAAACATCTCGTTTGTCAGGAAATTTCCACTGGCAAGCTGGAAGGCTACTTCTAGTAAGGCAGATTGTTCAATCACAACTGAGATTTACAAGACACTTTCGCTGTAGGCCACAACAAAGTCAGTGTTTGCTCGTCGGACGTTGGGAGAAATATCAGGAGCTTACGGACATTGATTAATATATAAACACAGAGGTATTAACTGTGCAAATAGGATCCAGCACTCAGTATAGAAATGGCTTGCAGTGACGTCTCGTGTGTCCGGATCAGGTTATTCCGGAAACCAAGGTACCAGGATGGTTACTGAGGGAAACCTCGAGGTATATAAATAGGCCATTTCGCGGCAGCTTTGGTTCGAAAATCTAGAGCTTTAACGAAATCGATTTTATTGGGAACGTTTCAGTGTGTACATATTGTGAGGCTTTTTCTCTTGCAAGAGGGTTATGACCTTGAATTGTGGGGAAGATTCATTCATGGATTGTCGGAGAGGAATTAATAAAGGAATATTGGAGGATTTGATCGAGGACTGTTGAAGGATTTAATCAAGGATTGTTGGAGGATTTAGCTATCGAGGTTTACAGGATTTAACAATAGATTGTTGAAGGGTCAAGAATTCGGGTATGATTTCTTCCTGGACTCCAAGAGGATTGTTAAAGATGTTTATCATGGATTTTAGGAAGATTTAACCATGGACTGTTATGATGTTACTGGTGTCATTTCGAACATAAAACATACAAACAAACAAAACATAATCCCGGCGAACAATCAATGAATTTTGTGTGGCCCCCAAACTTCGTGTCTGTTCTACCAACCTCGGTACCTTAACGTCACCAACAAACAGGTTATTGAAAGGATATTTGATATGTATTCGTCTGGTTCATTTGCTGAATGCAAATTTAGAAATGTCGTTCTCCATTTGCAGGAGGACTAGCTGAACCTCTAAAATCAACGCAAAACAAAATTAATAAAAAACGATTTACTGACTGGGAAAGGACACAACAGTCTACATCGTCACTTGTAGTGTGGTATGGCACGTATTAGATTGGAATCAAGAATAGTAGAAACATTACAAATAAGATAGATGGAAGTACCCTACCACGTGATCATGACGTGAGCGATCATACTGATCAGTTAATTTCAAGTATCGTGAAATCAGGCTAAAACAAAAGAAAGATTCGAATGTCAATCATCTCCAAAACATCTGCACACTACTGGTCAAATGCTGATATCCCTACATTAATATAGGCCTGTACTGGGCGCACATTAGCATGACTATGAATTGAAAATAGGAATATGAATACGCGTTCCATACCTAAATTATCATTAAATTACAGCTTCGTTTGTAATGCGATGGTAAAATATGTGACCCTTATTTTGTGTAGAAATTAGGTGGTTTATTATAAGATTTATGGAAATGTCGATATTGGTGACATCCAAACATTGAAAATCTGATTTAAGAATGACAGTATCTGCAAGATACATGATAATGTTTAGATAGACGCTGACCTCCATGCTCGTCAGAATTCACATTAGTGGACGAAGTCAAGCACACATGTGATGACGTTGTGACGTCTTGTAATCACATTGAACATTTCGTCCTTGGAAAGCATTGTTTCGCAATGTGCGTTCTTTCATTTATGAGATAAACATTAAATTTATACATACGCAAACTGATGCAAACTTGTTTTAAAAATATTGTTAAAGACATCAAATTATAGACGATAGCTTACATGATTCAGAACAAAGCAAATGGTTGCATGACAAGGGAAATAACTCGTGATTTCAGTTGGTCCCACCGTGGTAAACACAAAAAGCAACAAGGAACTGAAGAGACAAATATCATAATGCTTCATGGCATACGATGAAAATGGTACTTGCACCTAGTGTATATTCCATAAATGTTGTAGCGGTTCCCTTGTACGCCAACTGTAGCATTAAATGCATTTAAACATATATATACACAGGTAGAAATATCACCTGAACTTGAACAACGAGCACTAAATCATAATACTTTAACATCAATGAATCAAACCGATCATCGATCTTGATTAGGACAATATAAGAATACAAACAATTGGTAAGTCTTATTGGCAGTGATACCTTCATTGTGTGTACGTAGTACCGTCATCAGACATTATTGGATGAGACTTACAACGTACATACTAAATATGTCGGGCTTTCTTCGCCTTAAAACTGGAATTATTTTGAAGACATCCACAAGAAGCAACATAAATTCGCGAATCAATACAATAAAAATATATACATGTCATTTTACATCAATAAAGCACAGCACCTAATATGGCAAGTGAATTGGGAGGTGACAAGTGTTATTCTCACGTGATGCCTGTCACGTGGTATGAGTGATGAATTGAACATTTACCCTTTCTCAGAGAAAACATGATGATGGTATCTTTGGTACAGTGTTGTCAGTCAAAGAGGTTACATAGTTCCACTTGACACAAAATGGCGTATTGTTGACACGATGACCACGGTAACCAAACAATTTAATACCTCTTCAGCGTTGGCGTTCCACCTCCACCAACAGTCCGCACGACAAGATTTGGCGATATCATCGAAGGGGAGGTAACTCTAAGGCCCCTAACGACACTTCTCGTTATCACATAAGTGAACCAGGGTCAATATCAGAGTTCACATATCATTATATTTAGTACGTCTATCGTGCATAATATTTTGTCACTCCTTACATTGGAAAGTTTCTATTTGCTGAGCTGAGGGCTGCAACCTGATGACTTAGTCTTTCAGTATATACATATAAATAGATATTAGAAGTCCCCAAAACTTCCACTGACATTTTTGGATGTGAAGGTCAATGCATCTCCAGGAACAGCAAGTCGGGTTGAACGGTGACTACCCTGTTTCCCTAACGTCTCGTTGTATCCATCCTCTATGTTTGGCCGACCGACGCTGGTTTTAATTGAACAATTTCAGATTGTCCCATAGATGGCGCACCAACTTCCGGTTCCGGTGTAATACCACTGTTAACAGGAACAGCCTTGGGAGGCGAGGGGGAAAACAGAGGCTCTGCGGCATGTTTGAGCATTAGGTTGGGGTCAAGGCCCATGGATCTTTCAACGTCTTCAGGAAGGGGGTGTTGGCTCCGAGCAGACGGTGTTAACGCTGATATTGGTAGAAGGGCTGGTGGATTTGGCGGTGTAGTCAACGCTGCCAGTACTGCCGAGTTGTGCGAATACAGAGACGAATAAGAGGGAAGGGGCTTCATCTCGGAGGCTGAAATAAAAGTTGAGGTGTTAATGTTTCCCAAAGTATACAGCAGATTAATTCCGGAAACAAGATTCTTGAAACTTGTCCAACTGGAGATATGTTTGTCTTCAATTTTCACTGTTACCTATGACATGAACAGGGATGCCTTCTCAGAGAAAAAATACAGGGGTAGGCTTTTTTCAGTCCCGATAGTCATTCATTGTATAGCTTCGATCCTGATTCACACGAACACACCGAGCGCACATAGACAACACTCAAGCGTATATGCATGGCAAAACGGCTATCGCTATGTTGTGTAAGCAATTACATAAAAGAGGTTATATATTCAGAGGCTTGAAAGAAACAGGTTCCAGCGAAAAACTAATAAGGTAACACATGAATTGCGAACAGAAAACCGAAGAATGAGACTTTAGCACATTTGTGGTCTGGACCGTAGTTTTCCGATATGATTGTTTAATTAAAAGAGACACATATATTATATATTTATGAATTACGCACACTGGCATAATTATTGCTATATAATTATAAGAGCACGGAGAAATAAACAAAAGCACCTGACTCAATATTTTGTAATGTTTTACCTTTAAGTTGTATCAGTACGTTTAGATGAGTTGCAGAACTTATTTCATTTATTGTTTTCAGGTTATATGTAGGTATGAAGGAAGGAAAAATAATTAATGGATTAAATACAATTGTGAACATTGTATTTTACAACAAAGTATTGAGTCAGATTAAATGAAAGGCGAAAGAAGAAATCTCACAGTAGCTTGAAGGCATGACGGCAGAGTTCCAGTATGGCGGCTTACTTGGAATTGTTTCTGACCGACTGAGGGTGAGGTCATAGGGGCCTTGAGAGGACATTGGGGGAAGGGATGTCTGGGGGTGGGACATGTGCTGAGGTGGGGAGTGCTCAATGGAGTGGTTGTGCAATGGCAAGTCCTTGGGAGGTGTCCTGGATTTAGAAGAAGGGGTTTTAGGTTTCCTCTTTCTTGTCTGGATTCCGTCCTTCTTCATAGACAGTGGCCGGTTGACCTAGATGGAATACAGAGGATATATACTCGCCAAGGTAGGTGTTATCATACAGCACAAATGTTCTTTCACCAAACCCAGCCGATCATTTAAGAGTCGAAATTTAAGAGTCGAGGAGAGCAGGGCAGTTTTGTATTAACAGACTAGTGTTTTAGGCACAGCTTTGAACGGAGGAGCCAAGATATATTTGTGACTCACACATCATATTTGTCAGAAACTTCTGCATACCCAGTAAAGGATTATACACTTCAGTACTTTGTTCTTGCATTATCGAATAGAGATAATTTAGTTCAAATCAGATACCTACATTTAAGCTACAAAGTAATAACATTCTATAGTTCAGACAGAAGAGAGCATAAATTGATTTAACAACTGCCTATGGTCCCGATCAGGAGAGGCCTCCCTGGATGTAACAACATCCTGCATTTCAGATGAGGGTAGATCACTCTGAATGTGACACGTTTCTTCAGTTCCGACAGAAGAGAAGTGTGTTCTCACCTGGTGTAGCTTGTAGTACAGACCACACGCGTTGCATACGGGTTCCCCTTCACTGTTCCTCCGCCACAGGGTGGTGGTTGTAGTCCCGCAGTTGGCACAAGACAGACCCATACGTCTGTTTCCGCTCTGCTGTTGCTGTGAAAGAAGATGAAGAGCGTGTGAAGTACACAGTACGCGAAAAATCACAACGTATCACACAACTTCAATCTATTGCACAAAGAAGATCAAATGGAACAGAACTAAACTACAATAATATTATATTTAGGGAATATTAGTTCAGAGACCACTGAAGTCATTGTCATTTATTTAGACATGACTAACCAAATGAAATATTTGCATAACATTACTTCGATATTTTAACATTTACGAGGGCCATCATATTCCATAATGTTTTTGTTGTTAATGGACACTTGTCAATGAGGGAAATGTGACTATAACACCTACCAGAATAGATTTCGCCATCTTCATTGGCCCACCTCCCGTCTCTGGGGGAGTGATATTAGCCACAGCGTCTCTCTCCTCCTCCAGGTCGGGGGACAAGCGGGGCGGGAAAGAGAGGGGCGACTTCATTAAGAAAAGGAAAACAAATTAAAGTCACAAGTATGAAAAATATAGGTCAGTGTATGCACGAACCCGGCTGGCGACTTGGGAATGGCAATGTCTGTGTTAGTATTTCAACGGGAGGTAACTTCTACTGAACTAGAAAATCTCAAACAACCAATACTTATTGAAGTGAAAGAGTATGTGATACATGGATAACGAATTACTATGAGTTGTTTAGATGTGACCAAACTACATCTAACAAATTAATCATTCATACTTAACGTGTAATTAAGATACCCACTGTTTGGTTGAGATGAGAATTTTATGGAAACACGAAGCATCATCGGTTCGCTGGTAATGTTGTATATTTTGTGCTTTTTATTGAACAGAAGGATATAGGTGTCATCGGTGGAATTGTCACATTTAAACCACCCCGTCCCTACCCTGTGGTAAATACAGGTGTAGATCTGTGCTCTGACAGTGTTAGGCACAGAATGCCGCATGATAATACCTTTTCGTATCGTATTTCTGTATATTTCTTTTCTCGTTCGTCTTCCATTTCGGGCTGAAGAAAATAAAGAAAACTTTACAAAAATAATCAATGATAGAAGAGATGGGTTGTGATCACGCTTTTGTTGAACATATTGTTTTGAGTTGTTGAACCCAACAAGTCTCTAACATTAGGATGGGCTATTTAGATCATGGAATGACTCATGCAAAATCCTCATATATTATTAGCTTGGAAATAACCTCGTATATCCGTACTTGACATATAAAGGACCAAAGCGAAGGTTCCAGCAATACAATGCATACTATAAGATCGTTTATGGAAGAGTTATATTTCTTTTGATTTCGCAGATGCCCTGTACGTACAAACATGGATTTCCGACCCTGAAACATTACTTCCTTGTACCATTCCCTGTGAGTCCGTTGACTTACCGTTCTCCTGCCGGTAGGGGGCTTCAGTGGCGGCCTGTTCACGCCATTCATTTTATTGTAGAGTCCACATGCATTGCACAGGTAGTGTCCCGTGCCGTCCCGCCTCCACAGGGGTGTGGACACTGCCCCACAGTTGACACACTCCCGTCCCTCAGCATAATAGTCAGCGTCGGTTACTGCAAGAGGCAAAATGAGGGGAATTACATTAAACCCAAAGCAGTATTAACAGAGAAACAAGACCCTCAACATTTAGGGTGGTGTGTTCAGGATGCCTAATGCTCATTCCGTGAACTCATGTTTGTCCGGAAATCCTGATTGACATATGTTAGAGAGTCACAGGTGGACCAGGATACGATCACCATTTCGCTAACACTTGGTATCAACACTTTTTGATAAAAATTCATAAAAAAATCATGCTCATGCTGTAGTCGGAATCGGGCTATGGTAGAGATTTCTTATGATCATGTAAATAGTTATTGTCGTTCAAAAGATACCAAGATTTATTAGGCTGTCATGTCTTCTGTCCTTGGACAGATACATATATTAGGTTTCAGTGAGTAATTGTTTTAAGGTTGAATGTCTATACCGGACAGTGGTCACCTTGTCACAGTGCCACTATTGTTCCTAGTCTAATTGAGATCCAAGACATAAGTATATTAATTACGTTAGTCTGGTTCCTGGAGATAGAAACCAACATCACATAGACTTCATCACGTGTGAAATATACACCAACAGATTTCCCACCCTTATACCAGGCAAACTAAATCAGGCACGGTTGCAATAAGTATGATTTGCGAATATCAGGATGGAAAATAAACTGACAACCAAGTAAACATTAATCACCTTCAGCATGACTTAATCTACTAAATTGGCAAATGATGTTGTTTTCAAACAAAATCGTACATGTATCACTATAAAAATGTGAGTTCCATCTCACTTTTCAATCTAATGTACATTTCATTTACGGCCATGAAAACTTGTATCCTTATTGTATACAGGTTGTGATATGTAGGTCGATTGGCTGTGTACATCAGGGCCCTGTGTGATATAAACCATATATAGGAGTGTTCCTCTCTGCTATATGCCTTCATTTTAAAGTTCATTACAGTGCTGATTTACAACCCACTCTGTCCCAGGGCAAGGCGCTCCTGCTGACTAGTATGTTGATATTTGCTTGGAATACTAATAAACAGTTCTAATCAAACAAAATTGAGAAGATTCAAGACATATATCTAACCAGGGCAACTAGCAGTGGAACATACGTCTTAGTGTGTTTACATCAGCTCAAGGTGACCTCTTAACTCGGGTTGTAACATGGCGAGGGGTCACTCTGAAGCGAGGAGTTTAAACGCTCTATTTACACACTACTTCAATACCAAACCTAAATCGTGTCGTTGTGGAGGGGTTGGGGGCAGTCGCTGGATCCAGTTTGCTATATTAACGAAGGAAGGAACAAACCCAACCTAAAGACTGAGCAAATTTTGAATAATGTGACTATGCCAAGCATCGATCCATGGTGGCAATGTGGCGTTATTAACTGCAGGCGGTATTGGACCAACTGTAGAGACCTCAACACATGACTCAGTTGCTAAGTCCGGGTGTTTGCTTTTACCATTGCTCTACCGACATCAAGCGGGACTACCATAAATTACCCCGGCATTCAAATTCCGCGGCTCCCGGTTCACCGCACGATCTGGGCAGAAATAACCACGAGAATAGAAGACTGGAGAGGGCTCCAGCCATTTGATCAAGCAAGGGAGAGTCTTGCCACCCCACCGAACGCCTGGTTTTATTTGAGCAGGTGCGCGCCATAACGGATTCTTGCTTCACGAGAGCAATGAGTGTACCCTTTATAAATCCTGTTTAAATTCTAAATCTTCAGCACTGAGACTGAACGCCTGCGATTTAAAGATTAATACATTCATTTTACGGTTAGATATTTCAAATATCAGAACATGGCTTTCCTTGATGACAGGCATATGGTATTTGTCGTGAAGGTAAGAACAACACCCGGTGTCTCTCCTCTCGCTGGTGTTGAAAGAGGTCAAAGGAACAAGTGTTACATCACGTGAAACGTACTCAGCACTAGATTATCAATGACTGGCGATTTATGGTAATCGATTGTACATGAAGGTCACTGTCGTGGCAAGATGACATCAAGTTATTGATTTTAGGAACGCAGTGTTGAGTATGTAAAGTTGAACCCGGTAGGCCCCGAAATAGGCAACTCTCACCGTACCCCTATTACAAGTGCAAACATCTGCAGACAGTTGCTGAGTGCTCGACAAACTGATTTAAGTGTCAAAACGTATTTATTACCAAATGACTTTACTTCCTGACTACAGAGGTGAAATTATACCATTAACCGCCGGATAAACAATACCCTCTTCTACTGATTCTGTGTCAGTAGGTTCTCTGTTACAACGATTACGTCACAAATATTCTATTTCTGGTTTAACTATCCACACAGCTTTACTGCTCTAAACTATTATCTACACCTACATGGGTGCACGAACCAAAATAAATACCAGGACCCTGTACCTATTTGCACACAATGCCTACCTGTATATCACTGTCACTGACCTTCACCTTATGTATACCCGCAAACATGGACTGTAAACCTACAAATGTTGGATATTTACCTGTCGACACAGAATAGAGACATAAATTTACAAAGTAAAAGAGCATGCTAAGACGTATATTCACATATGATCGTAACAAATACTTGTAGTGTCATGAGTAAGTATGTACGTTGCCCAGTGTTTCGGTTATAACAGGGCGTGACAGCGCAATGGGTGAGGAAAGACTAGATATAGATTTTAGACGTTTACCAAATTGGCAAAAGACAGATCTGGTTCTGATGAACTTAGAAACACAATCGCTCCAAACCGGGATTCGAACTCATGATCACAGGTTGCTGGCGTGCCCAATGGAAGTAACTCTGCACAGCAAATTACGGCGCTTTAGACGACTGGGGCACAGTTCCCCTCTCCCTCGTATAGTAGAGAATGCATGCTATATGTGTTTCTCGTGGAATATGTGTGCAGTATTCATGTTACATATGTTTCTTTTGTAATATGGAACCTTATACATGCATCATGTACATTTTATGTATCTTGTACAATACTTGTATGTACCTGAAGCACATTATGTATGAATATGTTTCTATTGTACAGTATTCACATGAAATATGCATCTTGGGTACAGTATTCTCATTATATATGTGGCTTATGCACAGTATTCGCATTGTGTATTTTTCTTATGCACAGTATTCGCATTGTGTATTTTTCTTATGCACGGTATTCGCATTGTGTATCTTTCTTGTGTACAGTATTCGCATTATATATAAAAAGCATGTTTACATTATGTGCCTTTTAAATGACACACACAAAGTCATCCTTTCAATTCATGCTAATATATGTCTACATTCAGTTCACTTATGTCACATATCAACGGTTCGCCATTCCACTAGTAGTGAAGCATTAAGACATTTATTTCTCTACTCGTTAATGATTCTTATGATTTAATTTTGTATGTGCATGCATTCATTAGTTTTATCAAGTCACGGGCCGGAACCATATGGTCTCCGCTGTCCCATCTCGCCGAGCCGAAGCTACAACGTAATGAACAAGTCAGGGTGTTTGATGTGGCTATGGGTATGTTAGCCCCAATGACAAGTTGTTTCCAAACACATCTGTAATTTACGACTACAGTTAGACAACTGTTGATTCTGGCCACGCGGTTTGAAAACAGCCCAACTGTCGCAGCTCTGAAAGCTTTGGGGTATAAGAGCCCGGATGTGATGTTGGTTGTCGGTTGAGATTGGACTCTAGCCTGGCAACCAAAGCTGCCAGCTCAGAGACCTCGTTCCAAATCGTTTAATCATGTCGCGACTCAACCCTTAGCAATCACACGCTGGAAGTAAGAGCTCAAACTCTGAGTCAAATCTCCTGTCTACACAACCAAGGCTACCTTTAATAATTACAACTAGAACCTGGTTTAACCTTCTTGTGTCAATAAGAATAAAACTCTCGATTGATTTATTTGAGCGTCAAGGCTAGAGGTCCCGCCCGTGTAATAGTCGGAACAGGGTGAGCAAGGTAACTTGTGCGTCATGTCGGCAGTTGGGTCTGGCAATCCCGAGGCCCTTCTGAACACTATAAATATATACGCGGGGTTCACGCTAGTTTTGCCTCTGTCAACTTCACAAACATCAGATAATCTAATACGACTGAAATAATTCGAACGTTTTATTCCTGGTGTCAGATGAAAACAGTTATTTAGATCAATTTGCTTTCATCAAATACACTTCCTTAGTACAACCATATTTCCAATGTTTAAATATACTAATCAAAACAAGTGAACGAAGGTCATGTCATGGCTCATGTACAAACTCCTTGTCATCATGAACACTATATTGTATAAGTAAGTGGCCATTTACATAAAACATATCTCGTTAAAGCAGAAACATCATCTTCTGGACTTGTGTACTAAAGGTTCCGTACCAGCGATTTGTTTGTCCGAAGAGTCTTTAACCTCGGCGATTTTAATTGGAACACTATATTCTGAATTTACGGAGGTACTGATGCTGACATAATTTAGACTTAGTGTTTCGAGAATCTCACTGGTGTGTTAGTTGCAGTGAACCATACTGTGTTTGACATTTGCTGTAGCCATGGTGGGTTGAATCATCACGTCGGGGACTAAACCATTGGTGATGTGGTTAAAAGTGTGTCATTCTACCCAGAGTCAATGTCAATATCTAGTTTGTTTGGCCAAGAGTGTTCGAAGGCTGCCTACCAACAGTAAAGGTAATATGAATGTGGCTTTAAAGAACAAACAAACAAACCAATCAGTATTTTATGCAGCTGAGTTATTTCACTACCACCTGTAATGTTGTATTGAACATAATATTTCCGCCGCAAAAAGGAAACATAAACGAATGCAGAATTGATACATTACATCCATGGGATCTCAATGCAGAGGAAGTACCCGGCAATCTGTGCTGGTCGACAGATACGACCAAATAGATCAGTTAATATGGCTCAGTTGATTGGGTTATTACACCCAGACTGCGTGGAGAGATGTTCACAGTATCGATCACTGGTTCGTCTGGTCTAGACTCCATGATGTACAGGCTCCGGGTATATTGTACGGCGTTAAACAAGAAACAAGA